CAAAATGGGTGAAGAAGCCATGGAATAGTGTTTAGAGAAATTGGTCAGCCACCCTTCCACGTAGAAAATAACAGAATGCCTAGGGTTTAGTGCAAAAGTCATATATATAGTCAGTTTAATCTCATTGTATTAGCGCTAAATGCTACGCTTAGCATTTTAATCCCAAACTCAGGATTCTGAACCTACTCAATTTTACAAGAATTATCATATTTTTCTTATATTTTTCGCAGAACCTTTCCGGTACGCGCTTTTCCATAGCCAGTATCAGTTCTGGCATCAGTTCTCATTATTTTAACTTGAAACTTAAAATCACAGTCCTACATATTATTATAAGAATATTCATGCACTTATTATAATTTTCTGGGATACTTCATCGGTACACATTTATAATGAGTAGCAGAACCGGTATCTGCACTTTTCGTCCGAAAAGCGACTTTCAGCATTATTACCCACTTACTACAATTATTTAAGCCTCATAATAATAATTAGGGTCAATTATGGAATTAATTCCTAATTTCACATAATTAATTAATTAACTTCCTTAATTAACGGTGCAAGTTCTTACAGGGAGCAGCTGACGTGGAGGGTGGTCCCGTAATCTGAAATGACGGGACTGATCCCATAGAGTCAACTGATGTGTTTGACTGTATTAGTTTGGCACAACTTATCAAACCAGCTTTTACCCAAAAAATCTTTTGAAAAAATTTCTTAGTACGATGCTTTTGCCAATTTTGCAGACATTGCTTAATTCAAACTTTTGAGAAGCTGATATATGAGACTGAGATTTTTGGATTATAGATATAAAATAATGTTATAATCAGGGGGAGTAAAATATGTACTGCACTCTTTTTTCTTCACCAAGATTTTGTTTCATTGGGTTTTCCTAGTAAGATTTTTATTAAGGCAGCTTACGATCCATATTATTAGAAATGTATATTCTTTTTCCTTCATTATGATTTTTTTCCCCATAGGGTTTTTTTTTTCCTAGTAAGGTTTTTAATAAGGTATAATATGTTAATGGATATCCAAAGGAGAGTGTTATAAATAATATTATTGTGGATGTCCATAACTTCCAATTAAAGAAATAATGTGTAACTTTTGTAACTTCTAATATGTAATTAGGAGGATTCATTGTTGTCATTTATTTTATTGTAACTCATTATAGTATAGAGTCTATGAATAGAGACAATGTACAGATCTTATAAATGGTCAATCATAATACAATGAAAACTACCTTCTTTCTTCTTGTTCTCATTTTCTCTCTTTCTATTGTATTTACTATATTCCTGTTATCCTTTAGTTTCATAACAAAAACAATGTAATTTAAATTCTCCCATTTAATAAACCGAAAAACTATGTATTAATGAATCTTGAGAAACTAGAGTGGAGGTAATTTATTTTTAAAGGATCATGATTCCAAAATAATAATAAAATACTTAGGAAAAAATATATTCCACACTAGACAAATGACTGCGTCCGTACAAATTTTAAAGAACTAATAAAAAATAAATGTGACTGCTAATAATTGATAATTTAAGTGGTAAAGAACTTTTTATCCTTAATCGAGATATTATGATTTTAATTAACAAACTAGTTAGGTTTTTAATCAATCAATAACACAACATGTTTATTCTTTACATGTTTTTGTTTTTATAGCACAAAACTTTATTACTCAAGTGGCCTTATGATATTCATCATGAATACTTTGCAAGATTCATTATGACAATTTGTTAGGAATTATGTTCCTAATTCTAAGAAAATGAGAGAATAAGAGTAAAACTCAAAAGTGCAAGGTTCATTGATTCCAAAACTTTACATGCATTACATATTGGGAATTAGTTTTCTCATTTCACTGTAGATAAACCCTCGTTCCCGCGGACACAGAAAAATGCAAGGCATTAAAAAAAGAGTGGCACAAAAATCGATGTGAATATAACATATAAGAGAACAATCTGTAGTGAAATGAAAAAAGGATTTCTGATACTTATTTATAGTATATCACATTCCTATTATGTCTTTAGTTATTCTCAACTGTATGTAGTAAAAACCTGCAACTACCTAATTATTCCTTCATATGCAACTTACTACTGTTAATTTTACTAACAATATTCTAACTACTCGACAACCTCCTAATTGATCAGTTACGTAACACTTCTAACCCTCGAAATGGACCTTCTCCTCAAGGTCCTTTGGAAAGAGAAACTTGTGGATCCTTTTGGGCTCCAAATAATGAATCTCACGACAAAAGGCAAAATGTAGAACATAAGTCATCCTCCAGGAATTGATGAATGGATAGAGTGGCATTGAAAGGATCCTTGACAATATTAGAGAAGGTGAACACGCCTTCTCAGGGTCTTTCCTAGTCTTCGAAATGAAAATGGTCTTATTATACTAAAAGTTCTTTTCTTGGATATAATGGTGTCATTGCGATTTGAAACTATAACTTATGCAAATTACACAAATATCTTATCACTAGACAATCTAATGGCATATTCTAGTAATAGTTCTGATTATTCTAGTAGTAGTTTTTGCCTCACCAATTTGGACATTTAAGTTTTGGTCTTGAAACTCCAACGCAAGCAAGACAATCCTACTAGAAAAAAAACTTATTTGCGACGAAAAATTCCGTCGCAAATTTTGTCACAAACAATAATTTTCATCACAAATGATAAAATTCCGTTGCAAATAAATTTGCGACGGAATCCCATAGAATTTCGTCACTAATCAAGTTTTTTTTTTCTAGTAATAGCTCATGGTGGTGAAGGAACACCCAATCCCAAAAGATGTAACAGAGGATGCTTTGACACCTATGTCGAAACATACAAATGATTATCGTCAATTAGCAAAGGAGGTAGCACCACAGAGGTTGTCACAACTGTCGGAAACATAATCGTGGAGGCTGGTGAGTGAGAAAGAACTCGATGGCTGCGAGGCTAGTGAATCTAAGACTGAAACGACAGTGGTAAACCCAAAAGAGGGAGAAGAAGGTGGATGAGTGGTTTCGAAAGAATGGTGAAGGCAATAACGAACCTAAATTTTTTTTTTAATGTCTGCACACTTAGAATAAAAGAATAAAGTAAAAAATTTTTAAAGAAAATTTTAAATATATTAAAATACAAAAGAATATATATAAAAAAAAAACTTTAACTTAATATAAAAAAAGTAATCAAGAGTCAACTAAACTGTTACAATAGAATATTTTGGGTTCTCAACAAAAATTACGGGCCTCAATTTAATCTTTTAGGGAAAAAAAGTCTACTCGTGATCCCTCAGAATTCAAAAATAGACCCAGATAATTAAAATTATGGTCATCTGAAATTCAAAAAGATCCACTTTAATCCCTCAAAAGGACTAACATGGGTGTATTTTGGATTTTAAAGGGATCACGAGTTGACTTTTTTTTAAGAGATTAAATTGGATTCTATGATTTTTGTTCATGACCCAAAAAAAAAAAAAAAATATATATATATATATATATATATATTTTTTTTTTTTTTTTTTTCTCCACCAAATTTGTAAGTGCACTTGCACACGCTAAAACATACATAGGTCCGCCACTGGGTGAAGGTGTTGATGTTAGTGTCTCCAGGACTCTCTTGAACGAGCATCCATGGCTAACACAATATTGTGGACTTTCTGCACGTAAACCATAAGAAGAGCAATTTGATTTTGGTAATTATCAAGGCTGGGTTTTAAGTGCTATATTAGAGTTTGATTGACATCGAAAGGATTTCTAATCGTTGCCGAAATAATCGAAAAGCTTTTGCAAGATCTTGAATATGGTGATTTGTTCAAGATGAAAGTACCCCTGTTGGGAATTTTGTTCTAACTCACACAAAAGAGAGATAAGAGGAAAAATCAGAAGTAACTGATTCATTGATTCCAAAATTTACATGCATCACTTATTATTTTATAGTGCATCAAGTTCCTATTCTGCCTTCAGTTATTCTCACGTGCATGCAATCACAAAATTGCAACTACCTATTTAATCCTTCAAAAGATATATAAGATGAAGATGTGTAACGTTACTACTGTTAAGTTTCACTAACAATATTCTAACTACAACCTCCCAATTGATCTGTTAGGTAACACAACGATTTTTTCTCATATATATTTTTTGAGTGGATCCTCTTATGTGCTAATTAACATGATCATGTCATGTGAGACAATCATAATCATACATGGATGAGTTAACGGTGATAAGGAAGGAAAGAGAAAAAATATAAGGATAGGAAGTTACACAATCATCACTGTTGATTTAATTATTAATAGGTTAAGATCTTCTCACTTGATATGATCATGTTAAATTACACCTGAGAGAAGAAGATCCATTTCCTATTTTTTTTTAGAGATTACAATGTGAAAGAAAAAATGGTTAACGTATTGACAAAAATATTATAACACACGAAGAAGGTATCATATTCCATTTACGTTAGGCCAATTTCTATTTTGGACCCGCATGGATCAGATCCATTGATAAGGCTGAAATCTCGGAAAATGCACGATAGCAACCCCGCCACCTACGATGAAGAGTGTGGTTAGGACTCGATTTTTCGGAAAGAAAATAAAGACCGAAAAGGAAAAAAAAAAAACATCAATAGAGTTTGGAAACTCATATAAACGCATTAATTTAAAAAAATAAAAAATATTATGCCGCCCGGGCAAGTTGCCCTTCATAAATCTTAATAATCATTTAAAATAATATATACCTGACAACCACAATGCAAGTACGTCAGTTTCTGACCACGGGTGTAATTTTAAAAAGGTAAAATAGAAGAGAACCACTACCTTGCATTATAGTTTCCATCAACTCCAATGTCCATTTCAATTATGATAATATTATTATATTTTCATGATTGCATCGCGTTTATGCTTATATATCTTTCCAAGAACTCCAAATGTAATTAAGGAGCACTCTATTCTTATCCTTGAAGCGTGAAACTGGCCAACAGTAAAAGCTTACAAGTTATCACCAACTATAGTCTATAATCTTATATACAATGTCCGAGTCAAGACATGCCGAATCAGCTTCACCCCACGATTTTGACAAAACTAGTAAAAGGTCATGGTTTTTCAAACAGTTCTTTGTTATCGTTCTTCCTGTGGCGGTGGTTGCGCTTCTCTACCGGCTCGACCCGTTCGAACCTGCTCGGCTACCTGCCCAAGAGCTGAGCCGGCCCACCTTAGCAGCCCCCGCGCGTTACGAGCACATGAGACGAGGATCTGAAACTTTGTCTGAGGGACACGTGGCGGGACCTGAAGACTTGGCTTACGACGCTACGGTGCGTGTCATTTACACGGGGTGTGAGGATGGGTGGATCAAACGAGTCGGGTTGAATGACTCGGGGGTTGAAAATTGGGTCAACACTGGAGGAAGACCACTTGGGCTAGCTTTTGACCAACATGGTGCGCTCATTGTTGCTGACGCCGATAAGGTGAGTGAGTCCCTTTCATGAATTATTGGATTTGATTAAGTGATCCATACGACAAGCAAACTATATATATATATATATATATGAGGTAGGATCCTTTGACATCAAATTTGAAATTTGACGTCTCAAGCATGTGATACCATTGATCTTTTTTGATCTAACGGTTATTAGATGAGGTGTCAAATTTGACACCGGTGTCAAAGGATCCTACCTCTATATATATATATATATATATATATATATATATATATGTTTCTTAACATTGAGAAGTTTGGTTAGTTATTTTTCATTATACTATAATGCGTAAATACTGTTAGAGTCTCTTTGTTTTAAACACCCACTTCACACCAATGATTTTGTGTCCATTTGGAAGATCAGTTAACTCCCAAGTATCATTCCTCTCAATTGCATCAATTTCAGCATCCATTGCTTTTCGCCATTTTTCTTCTTTGACAGCACTCTCAAAAGTCACGGGATCACATTCTGAAAACAAAGCAAAGTGAGTAATTGGATCTTCAATTCCAGTTACCTCATAATCTTCCATCCAAGCAGGCCTTCTTCTAACACGACGAAGAGATTGAGTTTCTTCTTCGTTAACTCTAACTACTGTTGGTGAGGATTGACTAGCTGAAGAAGTTGCAATAGACGAATTTTCAGGCATACTAGATGCTGAAATTTGCTCTTGTTCAGAATCAATATCACAAAGAACTTCGGTAGGCTGCTGCATATTCCAATCCCAAGTGTTTTCTTCATCAAAAACAACATCCCTGCTAACCACAATTTTTTTCGTCAGTGGATTAAATAATTTATATGCTTTAGATGTATCACTTACACCTAGAAAGACACATTTTTCAGCCTTGTCATCAAGTTTTTTTCTTTTCTGTTCCGGGACAAGAGCATATGCAATGCATCCAAAAATTCTAAAGTGATCCACATTTGGTTTTCTCCCACTCCAAGCCGCTTCTGGCGTCATATTTCGAACTGCAAAGGTTGGACTTCTGTTCAAGACATGAATACACCAGTTTACTGCTTCTGGCCAAAACGTCTTTGGAACTCTTCCTCTTACCAACAAGCTTCTAACCATGTTGAGGATGGTTCTATTCTTCCTCTCTGATACACCATTTTGTTGTGGTGTATACGCAGTTGTAAGCTCTTTTCGGATGCCATGTTCTTCACAAAAAACTTCAAATTCTTTTGAGCAATATTCACCACCACGATCTGTGCGAAGTGTCTGAATCATCCTTCCTGTCTCATTCTCCACACGAGCTTTGAAATTTTTAAATGTAGAGAAAGCTTCTGACTTTTCCTGTAAAAAATAAACCCACGTTTTTCTAGAAAAATCATCAATAAAGGTAATTAAATATTTTTTACCTCCATTAGAAATTGGATTTATTGGACCACAAATGTCTGAATGCACCAATTGCAAAATTCCCTTTGCTCTCCATGAGTTCCCTTTTGCAAATTCAGAACGATGTTGTTTGCTAACAACACATTCTTCACATACTAAGGAATGATATAAATATCAAGTATGTGCAACAAATATAATGTATGTGCAGTTTTACATGCAATTAAGATCATTCTCTTATGGGTTAACTTTTTGTACAATTACTTTGGATAAATTATATGTCGCGTGATTTTAACTATGTGTTATTGGTAAGACATAATTAAAATCACATGTTGTAAAAAAGATTATGTAAAGTAACTTTAGAAATATTTGTTCCTTCTCTTATATGAACCATTTTCTTATAAAAAAATAAATAAAAAGAAGAAGATCATTCTCTTATTAAATAAAAATTCTTACATGAACCATTTCCCTTTTTTTTAAAGAAACAAATTATTTCATGTTTTTATGAAAAAGTGAAAAAGAAAGAATAAATTTATATTATTGATATAGGTTCTTGTTTTGAAAATTTTAGATTGACTAGGATGAAAGCTATAAGTCCAGAGTAGGTTGAGTTAATAATCTTTTTGTTAATTCTTGGAAGTACCCTAATACCTTTTTGAGGTGAGTAAGCTCTCCTTTATATCTTTATAAACTTTAACTTTTTGAGCTAACTATGAGATTAATTCGAAGTGCAGCGCAGGTCATGGACACACTGTCCTTAATCCTTGTTTTGCTTGCTTGATTCAAATAAATGAAATGACAACACTGTTCAAATTAAAATAATAAGAGGACCAAAATTTCTTAGATGCACTCAAATTAATAATATAAGAGATAAATAGTTTCAATTAGTAAACCAAATAGATCAAAAGTGAAATTAAGCGTATTATGAACAAAGAGAAGCTTAAAATTATTTTTACGTTACTGTTAATCACGAGTGATTGGTGGAATTAAGCGTATTATGAACAAAGCGTATTAATAACAAATACACTTTCAATGGGAAAGTCATTGGTGGACCACTATGTAAAGAGATCGAAAGAGATCGATTATGCAAAATCTGAGTGCTTCAGAATCTGTTTGTGTGAATAACTCCACTTTTTTTTAGTTAGCTCGTGACATTACCTTTTTCTTGGGGATAAGAGTTTAAATTCATTATTCCTTGATTTAGTTCGAACGTTTTTTAATTCTTGTGTAGAACAATATTACTCTGATTATGGTTTGTGAGCACTCACGTATCCACTTAATGATGCAGGGACTGCTAAGAGTGACAAGAGAAAAGGAGGTTGAGCTGCTAGTGGATGAGGTTCAGGGCTTAAAATTCAAATTAACAGATGGTGTTGATGTAGCACATGATGGTACTATTTATTTCACAGATGCTTCATACAAATACTCAATAAAGGAGTCCCTCTTCGACATCTTGGAAGGCAAGCCAAATGGTAGATTCTTTAGCTATAATCCAGCAACAAAGAAGACAACCCTACTTGTCCGCGACCTCTACTTTCCCAATGGAGTTGCAGTCTCACCGGATCAACATTTTGTGGTCTTCTGTGAAACTGTCCTGTAAGTTACTTGCTGTTTGATAAGAGGAAATCAAATTAAATTTTGTACATACTCTAATCAACCATCTCTGTGAAAATAAGGCACTTAACTGAGTAAGTAAAGGTTATTTGAATATGAACTTAAGCCCAAACCTCTTGCATAATTCTGAAAGTTGTTTGACTTATTTCAGATTGCTCTGATTGTGCAGGATGAAGTGCAAGAAATATTACATACAGGGCTCTAAAAAAGGAAGCATAGAAAAATTCTGTGATCTACCTGGCATGCCTGATAACATTCATTATGATGGACAAGGGAAGTATTGGATTGGAATAGCAACGGTAACGTAGCCCCCAACTTCATTATTTATCTATACATCAATTAATGGTCTAGCATTCAATTTTTTAACCAAAGGGGAAAGAAAATTATGTTAAAATTACTATTTTTTGAAAAAGTAAATACTAAACCAAGGGCTTAGGGAATTTGATTTATGAAATGACTCTAAACTATCACTCTCCAAAAGAAAAAGGAAAGTGTTGGATCTTTCTGCCTTGTTTACTCATAAATGTTGTTTTTGTGCATTACTGGCAGGCCTTTACACCTGATTTGGATTTCATAATTAGATACCCTTTCATTCGGAAGGCTATAGCAATGGTTACAAAGTATGTAGTGAGTCTACCTTTGTCGAGGAATGGAGGAGTTATAGCCGTCGATTTGGAAGGAAAACCAACTGCACACTATTATGATCCCGAATTATCATTGACTAGTGTGATTAAAATCGGTAAACATATATATTGCAGCTCCATTCTCTACAACTTTGTAATACGTCTTGATATTGAGCAGTATCCTGCTCTGCCCACAATTTCAACAACAAAGAACATCTCATAAGTTGATGATTTGATAGCAAATTTTTAGTTTCTCCATAGTGTCTTGTTGGTGGCAAAAATTGGGATTCATGTGGAAATTTCATTCATCACTTACCTATATTTATCATAATAAGGATGGGATTTCATGTAGAACACCTATCCTTTTTATTATTCTCTTTACTAACTTGAGCAATCAAATACAATTCGTTACAATCTTGGGTCCAGAAATGCTGCCCAAGTTCTCCCTTGTAATATATTTCTGTATCTTACCTGTTTATGTAATTGGTAGATGTCGAAAAATAACTGTGTTATGAGCCAGGTAATGGGGCAGATTGTCCCTGCAGAAGTTGATTATTTCATTAGCATTTGCATCCAATCCATTGATACGCACGGTAGGAATTCAAGCTGGTGGATACGTTGGGTAATAGCATGACCCACAGTACAAAAGCGACAATATTATAAAAATGCTTATATAAAAATACGACAATAATATTCAAAGCAATGTTATTAAACTTGAAATGTTCGTGTACTCGATTAGGTTATTAGTTATATATTATGATTTGGATAGATATTTATAAAAATTTATATTTTATATTCAAAATTTATTTATAATAATTTTTATGCTATCTAGCAAAATTTATATTTACGTCTATTCAGAATTATCCATAATTATATATGAAAATAAATGCAAAATAATTTGCGGAAAAAAAAACCTTGGCATTGAAGAGGATATTATCATCTTCAACTAACCTTTTCCTCAAATGATTAGTTTATTAGATCAAAATATTTAATAAATATGCATTAACATCACACATATATTAAAAGTAAAATATCAATATATTTACGTACGTAACAATTATATTTTAAAAATTTATCAAATAAAATTTAATATAAAAAACATAAAAACTTGAAAAATTAATGAGAAGAAAATTATGCATATGATGTATAAAAAAAGTGCAAGCGGCTAAAGAAATATGGGCTGTATAGCCGATCGTAAAAGTTAGAGAAGGGATAAAAAAACCCTTGAGAAAAATTATCACCAATTTGACAATTTTACATCATGTCAGCAACCATTTCTCTTCTCTCTTTCTCTGTCAAAAGACTCCAAAAAAGAAAGAAAAAACCTCTGTTGTTGTATTGTCTGATTTTCTCTCCAAACTGAAGTGCGACCGACGAGTGTAACCTCGCCAGAAAATCCCTCTACCTTTGCTTGAAGTTTCAGTTTTTCCGAGTTGGGTGCAAAACGTATTATCTTTTACACTGGCACTGTAGATAGAACTGTTTTTATTTCAATTTTTTTTTCTTTTTGCTTCCTCTAGTTTTAACCACGGGGTATTACACTGCATATAGATGTTGGTACCATAAGGGATTGTTTTGTATGGAGATTTTAGTTGGAATGACGAAAAAATGAGGTGGATAAAATTTCTTTACCATATTTGGTATGAGGAAAGTGAACAAAATCCCAACATAATTATTTCCCCATCATTTCCTTCTTCAACTACACACACCTAAAACAGAATTTCACCCAAGCCATGGGATTTTTTTTTTTCATTAACTCGAAATCTGAATATAACATTTTGAGACCAAAATACCTTGGTGTATTATATGAGTGCATGTGTAAAAAGATTTACCAGAGAAGCACACCATCGTCAGATCTCGTGCCTGGTCTTCGTCTGCTCCAACTCCGTGCGGTGTGGCTGGTAGGTGGGTTGTAGGTGCTTCAAACTCTGGGTTCTGACTACAACTTGATTTTGTCTGAAAAACGATATCAGGAATCCGACAAGTGTGGGAGCATCTAGTTTAGTTAGTTATTTTGCCATTTTTGGTGTTTTATTGATGGGGAAGATACCTGTCTTACCTAGATCATTCTCAAGGGTTTCATTCCCAAAGGAATTTGACCTTCTGAGCAAAGGTCATTTCCTAGAAGGTAGTGAACCCGCTATTATTTTTGCTAAATTCGATTATTTACTAACCCTTTTTTGTTGTTTTTCGTTAGTTTCAAGGCATATCCTGTATTTTTGCACTTGTTCGATTTGCTCAATTGACCCCAAAATTGGTGAGTCAAAGGAGACAGATCATCCGATCAAAAGTCATTAGGCCTAGCCTTATGATGTAGGCCATGGTTTGACCAAATTCCATCATTTAGACCATCTTTTTAATTTTTGAAAAAAAAATATATTTGATTTTTGGATTCCTAGATAGGATTACACTTTTTGTGTGGTGGTCCTATAATTTTTAAAAATCATCTGATAGTGTTTCTGTATTTATTTTGATTAATTTCTATTGTTTTTCGTAAGTTTCGTATGTTTTCGTAGTACTTTTGCATACTGCCTATGCCTATGATGTATGGCTCAGAGTAATCGAATTGTCATGATCTGTTTGCATTTGATCTTGAGATAAAAAGAATATTTCATGCTCATAGAAGGGCTCGTAGGTTAACATATAGTGGTGTTGTTGAGCTCAACCCTGTTTGTGAGCATACTGAACATTTTGATTTAGTTGATCTTATTAATTTTCCTAATTTTTTTTATAGAGAAAACTTTACTTCTTCTAGTAGTTCCTTAATTAATTCTGAAAACATAGATAGCAGAAGTCTTAAACAGTTGACTTGACTTATGTTTATAATTATCAACCTTTATGCATTTGTTGCAAAAGTTTTATGGTTTTGCAAGTGAGGATCCTAATAAGCGTCTGAAGGATTTCCATGTGTTGTGCAATACAATGTGGCCACAAGAAGTTGATGAGGAGCAAATCAAGCTGATAGCTTTTCATTTCTCTCTGGACGGTGGAGCTAAGGACTAGCTATACTACCTTCAACCATCAATCTATTGGAAGCTGGAACAATATGGAAGAACTCTTTGTGGAGAAATTCTCCCCTTCTTCAAGAGTCACTTCGATCAAAAAAGAGATAAGTGGCATAAGACAAGCGAACGAGGAGAACCTATATGAATATTGCGAGAGATTCAAGAGGTTGTGTGCGAGTTGTCCGCACCATCAAATACTTGATCAACTGTTGATTGTTTACTTTTATAAAGGCTTGCTTTCCATAGACAGAAGTATGATAGATGTAGCTAGTGATGGAGTTCTAGTCAACAATACACCTACTGCAACCAAAGAATTGATAGCAGACATGGCAGCCAATGCTCAGCAGTTTGGCACCAGAGCAAACAGCAGTGCAGTGTTCCAAGTCCAAACTCCCCCAGTCCAGAATGCAGTAGTAACACCAGCAATAGCATGAAGCACAGATAATCAGAGAATAGAAAACAGACTTGACGAGTTGACTTCAATGGTGAGACAAATTGCAGAAACAGAATTAATTAGCAGAAAACACCGATAACCCTAGCTAGAAGCATCACCCTAATCTAAAGTGGAATCAGAATCAGAACTAAAACTAGCAGAGTTTTCATCCTTACCTACAAAGACAATTTGCACCTCCACAACAAGTGCAACGACAACCACCTACATAATAGAAGACTAGTGGCGATCCTTCACTAGAGGATTTGGTGAAAAAACTTGCGACGAGCAACTTGCAATTCCTCATGAACTCATGAGCTTTCTTCTTTACTTCTTATATGTTTGTCACTTCATGTCGGACTAACTAGTAGGCAAAGGCTCCTCGTCATAAATCGGACAGGAGGATGTGAACCTGGACCTTAGGGTCAAGACCATTAATTAACAATGCTTCCTTGCCAAAATGGTCGAGGTATAACCTAAGGGATTCTCTAGGTTGATGGCGTATCTTCTCAAGTGAGTTAATGATCTTTGGTACTGGTCTGCTTGGTAAATCATCCCATAAGGAAATGCTTTCGGTTGTCAACTTGGTGTACCAGGTGAGAGCTCTTCCGCCTAGAAGTGTAGGGAAAGTTCTGCATATGAGGAGGTTTGTTTCTCTGTTCAAAGTCATAACCTCTTCAAACTTTTGGATCCACTCAAACAGATCAGTATCTCCAACATATGTGGGGATGTTGTTGAAGTCAAGTATGAGAGTGAGTCATAGAATATTGGTTAGAGGCTTGTTACGTCTAGAGGGGTTGGAGGATGCATTATGGGCGGCCAAATATAATCCACCTTGGAGTTAAGAGCCTTCATGTTGAAGGGGTGGTTGCTGTATGCTGGATCTGTAACACCCCGTAGTACTCCGGTTGTTATTATTATGATACTTAGCGTTCACAACAGAATAATTTATTTTAAAATAATAATAAATCATCTTAAGAAAATATGAATAAACTTTTTTCAAAACATTTTATGAAAACCTTTCTAAAAACGTTCACTTGAGATATTGTGAAAGCGTAAATCTAAACATACATCTACTAATTAATCACATTAGCCAGTATTAGTGGCCATTGACCATCAAGATATGACATCAAGTGTCATTCCTAACGAAGTCTCACAGACAGTATAACAGCTGTATTTTGGATAACTGGGAACATGGTCCCACACGTACAGATAACCTAATTGATACAATAATTTAAACAGATATCTTGCAAGTCCCACACAGTCTGCAATCCCCTCAATGGGTCAATACAAACAATAAGGCTTCATACCCAAATTAACTGAATACATGCATCAAGTCTATATTAATTCAAAGTATAAAAGCATTAGTAAATTATCCATGGCTCTAAGGATACAATCATGAGCCTAAATAAATACATACATTAATCTCCATAAAATAATTAACCATGGTAACAAGTCTACATGTCAACATCAAGTTCAATCATAACATAAAATCATCAGTTGCATCATCAACTACTCCAATGCGGGGGCCTTGCCCCTAGAAGCATCACCACTACTCTGGGTACCTGAAATGATGTCCCCAAACGGGGTGAGATAACCACATCTCAGTAAGCTCAAGGTTCATAAAGGATCCTCTAATCCCCAGAGCCCACTTACTGTATGACAAGTCAGATATAAAGCATATAATACAATCATACAACATAAACATAGCATCATCATATCATCCTTGTGTAATCCCAAGGTCAAAGCCATAGACGATTACAAATGTGTAACTTCCAGGGTCAAGCC